GGTGTGTCTGTCTTTTCTTGGTTGCTGATTCTGTATTGGTAGAGAGAGTCTGCCTGATCTGGGTTCTGGTAGGGGCCTACCTCCAGCTGCTGGTCTGACCTACATAGGATTCTCTGCTCTTTGCTGTAGATCGCTGGCAATTCTTGCCTTTGGAAGGGTTGAGCAGTCTAGACTGCTCCTGTTTGCTCCTACGGGTGCTCTTGGCAAGATCGGATGTTCTGGATGCACTCTCCCAGATGCTGGAGTCTGCTATGGGCTCCTGATGTTTTGTTTTGTTTTTTGTTTTTTGTTTTGCTGGTTGTGGGCTTGAACTCTGGTTTTGGGTGCTGTCCCTCAGCTCTTCAGCTCAAGGCTGGCACCCTACCATTTGAGCCACAGCACCACTTCTGACCCTTTCTGCTTATGTGATGCTGAGGAATCAGATCACGGGCCTCATGCACCCAAGACTAGCACTCTACTGCTGAGCCACCTTACCAGCCTGAGCTCCTGCCTACTATCAGGTGCTGGCGCCCTGTGTTGCCCAATTCCCAGCCTAGAGTATATGGGTTGGGTTTTGGAGGGGTTTGGGCTTCTCTTGTCCTGAGCCTTTTGTTTTTGAGGTCTTTTGTTGTCACAGGCATGCTTCCCAGGGGGTGCAGTTCCCTGTTTTTCTCCTCTCTGCTGAGGTGTATGCTCAGCTTTTGACTTCAGTTGGGAGGAGTTGGTTGTGTTGTTCAGGAGCCGGATCCCCAGGCCTGGTCCCGGCCCCCACCGGGGTATGCTGTTTGGGCCTGTGCTGCTGTGTATACCACCTAGGTTATGCAGCCTGGGGTACACAGTTCAAATTTCTTCTACTGTTGGTTGTCTTGACCCAGGGGCACTGTTCCTGGCTTGGGCATTTAAGCTCCCTTCCAGGGGCGCTCTTGCTCTAGCCTGGCCAGCGGAGTGTGCTCCACGGGCTGGTGGAGCTCTGGAACAGTTCCCAGTTTTAGTGGGTCCTGTGGTCCGGGTGTTGGGGTAGGGAGTCTGGGTCAGGATCTGGGGATTCCCTCCAGCTCTGGTCTCCCTTGAGGGAAACACTGTCCCCAGTGGGGTACTCACCCTGGAGCTAGTTGTTTCTGTGTGATGTAGGTTGTCAGTTGCTGTTGCAATCCGAGTTCAGTTGGGGTGGTTGCGGGCTGGGCTGGGCTGGGCGGTGGTGGCTCTGTGTGATTCTCTTCTGTCTCTGCCTCTGTGGACGCTGTCGGGTCCACAGTGTCCATGCCGCGGGCAAGGGGTGGGGGCTGGGCCTCCGTACAGGTTCTGAGCACTGGGATTTGCACTCTCCGGATCAGCACCAGTTCCTTGTAGGTCTTTTGCTTTGGTGTTCTGTGGGTGTCCCATGTAGCTCTGGGGCTCCCGTCGTGGGGCCGAGTTTCGGGCTCGGGTGTTTCTCCGTTTATCGCAATAGGCGGGTCTGACACGGGTACCTCAGGCGGCTTCTGTGGGGGTTATCTGCAGACAGCTCCCTGTGTCTCTGGGACTCCCACAATGTATCTTTTTTTTTTAATTTTTTTATTGTAAAGATACTATACAGACGGTTATAGTTACTCATTACAATGTAATGAGTACACTTGCTATTGAGCATTGTTACCCCCTCCATTGTTTTCCCCTACTATCTCTTCCCTCCCTACCTTCCCTGAGGTCTTTTTTTTTTAATTGTGATTAAGTGATTACATAATTTCCCAAATTTCACAGTATTGTGGAATAATGATATTCATTTAAAGTCACAAGTTCATTCTAACTTTCCTGGAGCAAATTGTCTATCACAGTCTATAACATATACACCGTACATGTGATCAGCAGCATGGAGATATTTAGTAGTAGTTCGACCAGATGAGTGGAAGTTCTTTGTTTCTTAAGTCCTGTTAATTTTGTCGTATCACCTAACATTTTGGATTTAGCATCCACTTATCAGGGAAACCATGTACCATTTGTCTCTTTGCTCTTGGCTTACCTCGCTCAACATGATTCCTTCTAGCTCCATCCATTTCCCTGCAAATGCCATTATTTTGTTATTTTTAATGGCTGCATAATATTCCATTGTGTATAGATACCACAATTTTTGGATCTATTCATCTGTGGTGGAACATCTGGGTTGTTTCCATATCCTAACTATTGTGAACAGTGCTGCAATAAAAATGGAGGTGCTGGTTCCTGTTGTTGAGGGTAGATGCCTAGAAGTGGTATAACTGGGTCGTAAGGAAGGTCAATTTTTAGCTTTCTAAGGACCCTCCAGACTGCTTTCCAAAGTGGTTGTGTAAGTGTACATTCCCTCCAGCAGTGTAATAGGGGTCCTCTTTCTCCACATCCCCTCCAGCATTTGTCGGCTGATTCCACAATGTATTTTTATATAGATGGATTCTTGCTCTGCATTCTGTTAGCATTCTGGTTTTTTTTTTTTTCATTTAATACTATGTCCTTCACACCTTTCCATATCAATGTGCCTAAACCCACCTAATTATTTTTCACATCTCATTCATTATCTCCTGATGTAAACAGTCCCTTACTGATGGATCATTTTCAATGACTGCATATTATTGTATTGAATGGATATATTGTTAGAGATAATGTGCTTTGAGCTATATCTTAGAAAGTTTCTGAGCTATCTAGTAATATTCTTGCTATATTACAAATGCTGTATTTGACTATATTAAATTGCACAGTTTCGTCCTTGTTTCAAAAGAGTTGATACATGAAGTTTGCTGAAAATCATACTGGAAACCTAATAGGCATCAACAAATACCTATTTTACAGGTTTATAAATAGGTTTGGGAACAGCTTTTTTTGCTTGCATTTCATGTATATTTGTTGTTGTTGTGTGTGCATGTATACTTTCATGGAGTTAACCTTTTTGTAAGTTACTGTTATTTATTTTATTTTACCAGTTTGATAGCTATATCCAAAGTCTTGACCATTTTCTGAAGGAAAAATGAAAAGGATATATGTTATTTTCAAATTTTACATCTAAATTGAAAATAATGAAATCATCATTCATATAAGGCCAAGTTCAATCATGGGGCCAACATTTTATTAGGTTGCACTTTACTGTCATTGCTAATATTCAGCCATTTTGGCCTACAGAAAAGACAGTTTCCCATATATGATTCAGTCTACCCTGTGTTTTACATTCTAAGAAGAAGCACTATACGAAGAAAATATCCACCCACCCACCCATCTCTTTGTGTTTGTACTGAGGCTTTAACTCAGGGACTTGTGCCCTTATATTACATGGCTGCTGGTACCCTTACCACTTGCACCACACCTCAAGTCTACCATTTTGCTGGTTAACTGGAGATTGAATCTTTTTTTGTTGTTGTGGGGCTTGAACTCTGGGCCTGGGTGCTGTCCCTCAGCTCTTCAGCTCAAGGGTAGCACTCTACCACTTGAGCCATGGCACCACTCCCAGTTTTCTGAGTGCTTTATTGGAGGTATCACGGCCTTTCAGGCTGGCTTTGAATTGCAATCCTCAGATCTCAGCCTCCTGAGTAGCTAGGTTTACAGGCGCAAGCCACCAACACCCAGCCTGGAGATTGAATCTTGCAGACTTTCTTGCCCAGGCTTGTTTAGAACTCTGACCCTTCGGATCTGGGAAGTTGGCTCAGTGGTAGAGCACTTGCCTTGCATGCATGAGGCCCTGGGTTTGATTCTTCAGCACCACATAAGCAAAAAGAAAAAAAAAGCCGGAAGTGGCGCTGTGGCTCAAGTGGTAGAGTGCTAGCCTTGAGCTGAAGAGCTGAGGGACAGTGCCCAGGCCCAGAGTTCAGGCCCCACAACTGGACCCCCCCCAAAAAAAAAAAAAGAATAGAAATCTGACCCTCTAGGTATTAGCCTCCTGAGCAACCAGGATTACAAACATGAGCTCTGGATCCACTAAACATATTTTTAAAATTTTTTCCCAAGACCAGGCCTCAAACTCAGTATCTGATGCTTGCTTTCACTCATTGGCTGGTACTCTATGACCTGAGTCACATCTCCAACCACTAAACATCTCTTTTAATAGCTGGAAAGGAGCCACATGTGGAGACCTAGAGTCTGAGATTAACATGGCATTTGTAGAATCTGTGGAAGTAGTATATAACTTCCAAACCTGAAGTCAGGTTGAATAAGAGGTATGGAGGATTTAGTAGAATAATAACTTTTTCAAAAGATTGATTCTTTGAGACTGAATGCCATGATACTTTGAACCTTTTTTCTTTTACTCCTCCTTTAATTTTTATTCTTTAAGTCATTTGTCCTCAAACTTCACTTGCTAAAATAAATTAGTCCAACTCATCACATTTCTAATTCCATTTGTCTGGTTGGGACCCAGTCATTTTAACATATATCTAGGTACGAGGGCGCTTAGGCTGTCAGTCTGGATTACACTTTGAAAAGCATTGCTGTAGGCTATGGGAGATATGCCCCCATGAGATTGATTTAGTAATGTTAAAGAATTGTAGGGTAGATTGGAAAAGGGAGTAGCATATGACACTGTTGCATAAATTGCTCCATATAGAAACCCCAAGTTAACCAATGTAGCTTCTTTTGTTTAGTTTTTTGTTTTTTTTGCAGTCCTAGGGCTTGAACTCAGGGCCTGGGAACTGTCCCTGAGCTTTTTTTGCTCAAGGCTAGCACTCTACCACTTGAGACACAGTACCACTTCCAGCTTTTTCAGTCTGTGTGATACTGAGGAATCAAACCCAGGACTTCATGTATGCTAGGCAAGCACTCTATCTCTAGGCCACATTCCCAGCCCCAACCTATGTAGTTTTGTCCACTGTTTTAACACTGTCACTTCACCCTATCCATTTATTCAGTATCCATGTTGAACAATTTTCAGTGAGTTAGTCTCATTTTCTTGCCTTTTTAGTCTTTCCTAAGCTTTAAGGTCCATGTTAATGAAGTTATCAGAGCTATAGTTTTTAGGTATTTTGTTCATGTTAATTATTTTGTTTCCTTTCCTTAAATGGAGGGGGACTTTTATATTCTTTTTATTTCAGAATGGAAAACTGAAGGACAAGCCTGTACTACAGTAGAGAATATTCCTAAATTCAAACAGGATGGAACCCAGACCATCAAGTTGGAAGAATCATATGACTATGATAACAGTTTGGAGACATATACAACCTATACCATAGGGAAATCCCACACTAGTGAAAGAGATTTCAGTTTGAAGTCAAGCTTTTTTGAAGAAGAAGATCCTACAGAAGAATATCTTAGTAAATATGATATATATAGAAATAATTTTGAAAATCATTCAAACCTAATTGTACAGTTTGATACCCAGTCAGATAATAAAACTTTTATGTATAATGAAGGCAAGGCAACCTTCAGTAATGTCTCATATGGTATTGTACATGGGAAAATACTTCCTGGAGAGAAGCCTTATAAGTGTAACGGGTGTGGAAAAAAATTTAGAAAATACCCATCCCTCCTGAAACACCAAAGTACCCATGCCAAAGAGAAATCTTATGAATGTGAAGAATGTGGGAAGGCATTTAGGCATATCTCATCCCTCATTGCACATCAGAGAATGCATACTGGAGAAAAACCGTATGAATGCCACCAGTGCGGTAAAGCCTTCAGCCAGCGTGCTCACCTTACTATACACCAGAGAATCCATACTGGAGAGAAACCCTATAAGTGTGATGACTGTGGAAAAGACTTTAGTCAGCGAGCACATCTTACTATCCATCAAAGGACACATACTGGAGAGAAACCATATAAATGTTTGGAATGCAGTAAAACCTTCAGCCATAGTTCATCACTGATTAATCATCAGAGAGTTCATACTGGAGAAAAACCTTATATATGCAATGAATGTGGGAAAACTTTCAGTCAGAGTACGCATCTTCTTCAGCATCAAAAAATACATACTGGAAAGAAACCATATAAATGCAATGAGTGTTGGAAAGTGTTTAGTCAGAGCACTTATCTTATTCGACATCAAAGAATTCACTCTGGAGAGAAGTGTTATAAATGTAATGAATGTGGGAAAGCCTTTGCTCATTCCTCAACTCTTATTCAACACCAAACAACTCATACTGGAGAGAAATCCTATATATGTAATGTGTGCGGGAAAGCCTTCAGTCAGAGCGCAAACCTCACTCAACACCATAGAACACATACTGGAGAGAAACCGTTTAAATGTAGTGTGTGTGGGAAAGCCTTCAGCCAGAGTGTGCACCTGACACAGCATCAGAGGATTCATAATGGAGAAAAACCCTTTAAATGCAATATATGTGGGAAAGCATATAGGCAAGGTGCAAATCTTACTCAGCATCAAAGGATTCATACTGGAGAGAAACCTTATAAATGTAACGAATGTGGAAAAGCTTTTATTTATTCTTCATCACTTAATCAGCATCAGAGAACTCATACTGGAGAAAGACCCTATAAATGTAATGAATGTGACAAAGATTTTAGCCAGAGAACATGCCTTATTCAACACCAGAGAATTCACACAGGAGAGAAGCCCTATGCATGTCGTATATGTGGTAAATCCTTTACCCAGAGTACAAACCTTATTCAACATCAGCGTGTTCATACAGGAGCCAAACATCGCAAATAATGCATATAGGAGATTTGACTTAGGTTTTACAATCTGGTTACAGAAATTTCATGCTGTGTGCTGTATGTGTTAAAACATTCAAAAGAAATCCCCAAAAGTGCAATATCCGTTAAATATCACATTATCATAAATAGCAGAATTAGCATGGGTATAACCCATTTGAATTTATTATGAAATTTAATAAGGAAGCTTAACTTCTTAATCTTTATTTGCTATCAGTTCAAATTATTCCAGAAAAAAAAAACTGAAAGGGGTTAAATATCTAATTGGTCAACTTTTGCTATATTTCAAGTACTTCTTACTGAGGCCTTATGAATGTAACTTGGAAGTGTCCATCAAGTAGAGATTTCACACTAAAAAATACCATGAGATTATAGAAAAGACAAAGCTGCTATGAGGCCTTGTTTCTTCCCATCTTGAAGCCTTAAAATATGTAAAGGGTTTCCTCTCCCTTTGTTATTTCTCCTATTCCTTTTATGCCTAACTGCCATGGGGAGCCATTACATTTGAAGGGGAGGGGGAGTTGAAAGCATCTTAAGTTCTATATAACCATTGTTTATACTTTCCCTCAAATAACAAAATAATGAGCTTAGTGAAAGGTCATCAGTTAGGATAGATGAGTATATATAAACCCTTAGATATATGTACAGAATATACATTCCAAACTTAATGTTCACAAGTTAGCCTTAGTTTCCTTGGTTTTGACATCCAAGGTCTTCCTGAAGGAAAGAAAATATATTCAGTTCCAATTTTTTTTGCCTGACTCCTAAATTCATAACCTAAGTTTTGCCTGTGGCTCTCTTACTATAGGAAATCCATTTTGTCTACCAAAACATGTTTCTTGAGTGCCTCCTGTGCTCAGGTCTTAAACATGTTTGGATAATTCCAGGCTTGTGATAGTGCTGAAATCACAGCTGAGTTAAGCAATAGACAGCTTTTTAGAGTATTGAGAAGTAATCTTAATTGCTTTGCCATGAAATGAAACATTAAGCCTGCTAAAGTGTGTGGCCAAATGCTATCCTAGACCCCAAGTCAAAGGAACAATGAAAGCAGATATGTAAATGTAAATAATGACCAAAATAAGAAGTGAGAAATAGATTTGAGTTCACTGCAGAGTGAGGGAAAAGTCAAAGTGAAAACTTATGAGGAAAGAATACCTAGGTCTGATAAAACATGAAATATAATTTGATTTGCATTATCTAAAACTAGTGAAAATATAATTTTATTTGCACTATCTAAATGTGAAAATAAAGCAAAATTTAGTCTCTAAGAAATAGACAAAATGACATTTTTAAGGAATAATTAGAAGCCTCATTTTCATTCATAAATGGACATTAACTCAATGTCTAAGGAAAATTTCATTAGAGAAAAGCATTAATTCAGAAATTATCAATGAATATTAAACAGTGATAATTGAATCTGTGGTCATAAACAGCTTAAAAGGCAGACTGGAAGGAATAGGTTAAAAATACTGCTATATATATAAATACCCAAGATATTGCACTCAAAATGTAAATCTGAGATTTCATCTTTTTCTTATTTCTCCATTGCCTTGCATATAGCAGATGATCAATACATGTTGGTTGAATAAGTTACATAAATTAGAATTGAATAATAAGGTAGAATCTACTGGTGTGGAGTGAAAATAGAACTGAAAATAACTTTCATGCATGTGTCACATATTTAATAAATATTAGCCACCAGGTAATAACTGCTCAAAAGGAAAGAATCAGACATCATAGAACATCTTTGCATAGGGGAATCTCCTGAGCTAAATGAATGGAAACAAATTCTAATACTAGAATAAATATCGACGTAAGCATGTATTGACTAACCAGCTTTTCTTAGACATTACTGTTCATATAAATATCCTGTCTGTTTAAATAAGTGCTGAAGGAGAAACTGGGTGCTAGCATCTCAAGGTTATGTTGTTAAGTATTTTCTTAAAGAAATTACCATTCTCTTTTCCCACCATCAGTTAACTTTGATTTTATCCTGTCATCATTCACAAAATACAGGTTGCAAAATATTCAAATTATGTTTATTTCATAGTTGTCATGTTAAAAATGACAGTTGTATTTAAGAAAGTTTTTTATATTGTTTCATACCTTGCACAACATTTTTCCACTGGAATGAATGTGTGCAGTGTCACAATCCATAGTGCATTACTTTGTATTTCCTGCCTTTGTATATAATATGTAAATAATGCACTTATAAAGTCTTCCACTGAGTCACAGAGGCAATTGATGCCCTTATAAAAATAATACAGTAAGAGTAGAGAATCTTAGGTCTTTTTGTGTCATTCCCACTTTTAGAATTGTCTAAACCTGGAATAATTCAACAGGATTTAGCAAAAAGTCTTATTTTCTGCCACTTTAATTAGGAAATTGATCCAATATGCGGACAAGTTCAAAAGTAAAATAAGTGAACCATACCTGCCTAGATTTAAATTTTTGACAGCCATATTTTTACTAAGCAATTTGAAAGTAACTTACAGACATGACTTTACCTCTGAGCTTTATACAGTAAGTTATTTACCTAACCACAATCCCTCAAAGGAAATTAACACATTTCTGTTAACTTTCTTAATACTTAAATGTGTAGGTACATGTTTAAATTTCCCATTAGGACAGTTCTCACACATTATTTTGTTGTTTCATCTATCTGGAACAATACCACCTTCACTTTCTCAACTGTTTTCAGAGAGCTTGTCAGTTGTCTTGTGGAATATCTCTGAGGATTTAACTGATTGCTTCCCTGTGATTTAAATGTGGGGTATTATTACACTTCCTGAGGTTTCTACTAGAAGTTAAGGTCAAGGGTTTGATTGGGTTGAGGATAAACACTTGTGTGTGTATGTATAATACTTGAGTTTGGACTCAGGGCCTCAAATTTGCTAGGGAGGCACTCTACCACTTCCCCCAGTTTTTTTGTTTGTCTGTCTTTTTGTCAGTCAGGGGCCTGAACTCTGGGCCTGGGTGCTGTCCCTAAGCTCTTCAGCTCAGAACTAGCACTCTACCACTTGATCCACAGCACCACTTCCAGGTTTTTTCTGAGTGATTTACTGGAGATATGAGTCTCACAAACTTTCCTGCCCAGGATGGCTTTGAACCACAATCCTCAGATCTCAGCCTTCTGAGTAGCTAGGATTATAGGCATAAGCCACCAATGCTCCACCCCCAGCTTAGTTTTGAGTTAGCATCATAAAATGATACTGGGCCAGCCTCAGACCACAATCTTCCTAGGTATCTGAGAACACAAACTCATACTATTATGCCCAGTTTATTTGTTGAGAAGAGAGTCTCAGTAACTGTTTGCCAGGGTTGGCCTCAAACCTGAATCTTTCCAATATACCTCCCCTCTGTAACAGGTAAACCCTTTTAACAGAAACACTTTCTAGACATCATTGTCTCATGCCTCTAATCCTAGTTACTGAGGAGTCTGAGACCTGAAAATTGAGGTTTGAATCTAGCCCTCGCAGGAAAGTCTGTGAAACTCCTATCTTCAATTAACCACCAAAAGAAGCTGCAAGTAGAGCAGTGGCTCAAGTGATAGATTGCCAGCCTTGAGTAAAAAAGCTATGGGTCCTGAGTTTAATCCCCAGTACACACACACACACACACACACACACACACACGAATGAAAACACTTCACAAATACACTTCATTTTGTATCAAGACTCAATAACAGGTTGAATGTCAATATGGTATTTAATTATTCAGTTGAGGCAGTAACCACGTCTTTCCTGGGTAAATATAGTTTTTCCAGTTGAATTAATTGAAGTGTCACAATGTAAAGCGACACTTGTGCAGCTTATGGCTACTTTATTTTTCACATCATCATATTAATACCTAGCAGTAATCCTTGCCTGAATCATTTTCATCAAGATTTGCAATATAGTGATTTTCTAATTCTATCATTCTTTCTGCATTTGAGTGGTATTCTTATGTAAGGAAGAACTTTTCTTTGTTAGCCAGGAATATACTAAAGGCCTTTTCCATTAACTATCCATTTAGGATAGTGGACATATGAGGTATTTGGTGTCATACGCAGTAATGACAAATTGTTCAGTGTGGTGGTCAGTTATGATTGATCCTTCTTTCTGATGTTTAAGTTGTCCCAAATTTTTCTAGTTGGAATCCTCCAAGTAGCTTTTATGTTCTTTTGATATTTCCTCGCCAGTCTTTGGAGACTTAATTGCCTTCTGACACAACATATCTCAAGGAACTTCCAATGCCCCAAACATGGAATTAAAAAAAAAATTCTCTAGAAACTCCTAGCTTTTTCTCTGTAGCTATTTAGAATCCACTATCCTGATACCAGGCTCATTGTCACTGGAATAGCACAAGCAAATGTTTCCTTCCATAAGAAGGAAATTTTCTGCAGTCATATTCTTGGTTACATACTGTCTCTGTAATGCAGGACATAACTCAGGGCTTGGGCACTGTTCCTGAGCTTCTATTGCTCAAAGCTAGCACTCTACCACTTGAGCCACAGTGCCACTTCCGGCTTTTTCTGTTTATGTGGTACTAAGGGCTTCATTCCCAGGCCAAAACACAAACTTTTGGGAGCAAACCTCTAAGTCTTATTAAGCATACAAACTAAAAGGAATAAACGTGTAGTAGAAAGGAGCAAATTGGGGCTGGGAAGGTGGCTCAGTGGTAGAGTGCTTGCCTTGCATGCATGAGGCCCTGGGTTTGATTCCTCAGCACCACATAAGCAAAAAGAAAAAAGCT